GGTACTTAAGTTTGCCAGCGGTTGCAATGATATTCTTGCGCCGTTTTGTTCGTTGTATTTAGATATGTTTACCCATAATAGAATGTATTACTGCACATAGTACGTATAATTATTATCTTAGAAGGTATAAAAACCAAATAAGATGAACAATCTTAATAATAAAAAGCGGCAGTAAATGAAAATACTTAGTTGATTACAATGTCGGTTATTGATAGGAAACGATGTTAAAATACTTCATTAATTGACCTAAGCATTTAAATAATACCCGGATAAAATAAAAACCGAAATACTTATCGTAAACCGAAGAAAAAGCAAAACTTCTCGAAGAAATGTGCAAGGAAAATAGAAAACACAGCAAAAGAATGCAAACATCGTAGAACTTGTCATTCAAAAGCAGAAGTATGCATCCCGCACGTTCTGTCGTTGTGAACATGTCTAGAGGTTTTAAACCGCGCTCGCTAAGCTGTATGAACAGGGGAGGTAGGAGCGTCGTAAAAAAATTGTGCTATTTTTATCACTTCAGATATGTAATTTGATTCCCCTCGATCTCAGAATTGTTTGTTAAATTTATTATTTGAAAATTATAATGTTACAATTTCGACAAAAAATACAAATAAATTACAAATCGCGATAAAAAATTATATTTCAGAAAACCAGGATGCATCATCTTTATAAAAATGTTACAAAAATAATTTATTTCCTAATGAACAAAAAGGTAAATTGCAGTCTGAGAACAAAAAAAATACGATATTGTTCAAAGGTGAATTTACTCAAAATATTATGGTATCAAAGCTCTTTAAAAGAGCTCCATTAATATATAATGATAATAATAATAAGAGAATTTTATGATATTTTCAATAAAGTAAAATTGAATGTTTACGTCTTCTGTACTAAGTACATTACTCTTAACCGAGATTCCATCTCATTACATATGAAACGAATTCTTTAATTATTTCGGTGAAAAGACATCGATCCGGACTCTTTTCACGCGTCTCATGGCGCGTTTTTCGTTCCCACAAACGTTCTAGACAACCACCTCACCCACCAGCCGCAACGCAGATTGTTTTCGTGCACAGTGAACTCTCGTGTCTTCTGAGAGCATTTAATTTCCACCATTTGGGGCGGCGTCCTGCTTTGCAGTTGCTGGCGCGAAGCACCGACGTGCGTCTGGATGCACTTATGCGCCGTTATCTTTGTTCTTTGTCGTGGTTGCGTGACGCAGCGCACCGCTTTGAACCGCGTGCAGAGAAACGCTCGCAGCTGCAACTGCCCTGGCCTCCACTGTGGAGATTCGTGCCGCTTCGCTCGTTCTAGGGTTCGTTCGGAGAAATTCATTAAATGTTTAAGCAACTTTATTACATCCCCTCCGAGAGCTTTCTAGGAGGAAAAATATGTTGTGTCGCAGAAAGCAGGTGGGTATTCAGTCCTGCCTGCTATGTTGTTCCCAATTATATATATATATATATATATATATATATATATTATATAATATATTATATATATATATATATATGTGTGTGTGTGTGTGTGTGTGTGTGTGGAGAGAGAGAGTACACTATTTATAATGTGAAAAACTTAACATTTTTAACGCAAGTTTAATAATTTCTTATCATATACCGTAAAACCAAAACAATACGCAACTATTGTTATGGGTGAGTGGGCTATTCTACACTCAAATGTTTTCTTTCAATTTCAGATTTTTTGATAACGATACAGGGATTGCTTCATTATGAACTATGTAGAGTAAGTCAATTTAAGTCAGACGGGAGTAATTACAAACAATTTTATGCACATCCGCCGTGAAAACGTTTTTCGATTTCTCATAACTCAATCTTAACTCCGCTTGGCACTGTTTCAATTTCTGAATCATCTTGCACAAAATATATTTACTACATGGCTCGATAAATAAACTACTGTTTAAGGAAGACATTATTTGTATGAATTCCACAAATGTTATTTTACAAAGTGTTTTCAAAGGTTTCCCAGTTTTTGGTATGTATTCGTATCAAACATGATATTAAATATTATTATATCCATGAAGACATACGTAAAAGTCGAGGAAACTTATTCAGGGAAAATAGAACGATCGTTAGCATCAAAATAGACAATTCATCTATATTATTAAATTCATTAATTAATAATACAAATGACAGAAGCATTAAAAAAAGAATACTGTAGGTATTGCAATTTTTTCGGACAGAAAATGGTAATGAGTATTTTTGATGAAAGAATACGTACAATTAATAAACATTCATACTTCACGTTGCCGTATAGAAATTAGTTACAATTAACCCCTCTTTCAGCGTGAGGCACAGTCCCACCTGAACTTCCGCGGCACAGACGTATTTCCGACTGAACTTTCCCGTGTACTATCAACTTGCGTATGTATGTACTTCGTTACTTACGTTCCCCATTCTCTCCCTCAAATCTTCCTCTCGTTCTCTTCCTCCCAAACCCCTCCTCCCACCTCCCACTTCTCGCGCCCTCCACGCGCTGAGCTACGCACCTGCCCCTCTCGCGGGCGGGGGGGGGGAGAAGGACGCGCGCGATATCGAGAAGATATAAATCTGCTCCGGCGGCACGGAAGCTGCAGCTCGGCACACGCCCCAGCGCGCCGCGCCCCGCCGCGCCCCGCCTCCGTGCCCTATCTGCCCCCGCACCCCCACCCTCTGCTCTGCGACACGCGACTCCCCCACCCTCCACCCCACGCTACTAGGGCTCTTTAAAGGCCCATTCACCGTGCAAATGTAAACATAAGCATAACGCGTTGACGTTGACATGAACGTAAGTGATAGACTGAAGTATTCACAATGTCGAACTTAAACGTAGACAAAATTAGAGTTTCTATCTGCTAGGAGATATTCTAGTTTACTTTTGGTTGGATATGAGAATCGATTACGTGGTTTTGACATGCCCCATATGGTGTCAGTTCGTCCATCGACTTCCCTGCTATTTCAATTCACGATTTTCAGTTACCGTACTGTGATTGGTTAATTTCTTATGTCTTACTTAAGCATAAGAAAAGAAGCTTGGAGCTTGCAAGTTTTTAAGTTAACGCCTTACTTGTTATAATTATGATACTGCATGCTTATGGACGGAATCGTAACATTTATGTTAACGCCATGCTTAAGATAATGTTTGCATTGTGAAGGGGCCGTGGGTGTCCTTGGCGACCGTCTCTTTCTCAATCATCGCCTATCTTGGTGTGTTCTGTTTGCCTTCGTCCGCTGTATTTCTTGCTGCACTTTGCTTCTATTGCGACAAGTTTTCATATTCCCTTTGGCTTCGCTACGTACTCGATACTTCGTTCGTTGCTTCCGATCCGAACTTGTTTCTCTTCGCCTCACCCCAGGGCCGATGCAGCTCTGTTCAGGGCTGCCATTCACGACCCCCTTACTTTCCGTTTTTGACGGCGCTCTTCCGGCTCCTCATAGACTCTTATCTGGCTATTTCCGGCTCCTTTCCCGGTCGCCTCCAGAGCTTCCCCGGCCCTTCTCGGACCTTTCTTCAGTTCCTCTCCAGTTTCTCTTTCCGGGCTCTCCCGGTCCTTCTTCAGCCCCTCTCCGATCCCTCTCCGATCCCTCTCCGATCCCTTTCCGATCCCTTTCCGATCCCTCTCCGATCCCTCTCCGATCCCTCTCCGATCCCTCTCCGATCCCTCTCCGACCCCTCTCCGACCCCTTTCCGACCCCTCTCCGACCCCTCTCGACCCCTCCTCGACCCCTCTCCGACCCCCTCCCGACCCCTCTCCGACCCCTCTCCGACCCCTCTCCGACCCCTCTCCGACCCCTCTCCGACCCCTCTCCCTTGCCTCTGAAGTTCATCTCTGGTTTTTCTCCTACTCCCTCCGGCCCCACTCCACATCCTCTCCGCTCTCTCTCCGACATGACGCCGGCCCCTCAACAGTACTTTGCCGACCACTTTCCATTTGTGCCGGCACTACGTCCATATTGTGTTAATCCGTTCACAACACGTTCAGCACGCTTTCACCCCATTTGCATCTTACTTTCACCTCGCTTATATCTCCTATAACATGTTGCTACACATTATCACGAAGCTCATTTACCCTCTCATCCATTTGCACACCTTCTCTAGATCGTCTCCTTGTAAACATCATTACCTATTTCCCACTCCAACCCTTGGCCAGACCACATTACTGTCTTAGCGCCAGTTTCCAATCACTCGCTATTCATCGCCGTCTAAACTCCGTTCATATCAATTCAGACTCCGCTCATATCTCACTTGCACCGCGTTCAGACCCCTTCTGAAACCCACACAATTTCCTCTCTCTCTCTCTCTCTCTCTCTCTCTCTCTCTCTCTCTCTCTGTCTCTCTCTCTCTCTGTCTCTCTGTCTCTCTCTGTCTCTGTCTCCCTGTCTCTCTCTGTCTCCCTGTCTCTCTGTCTCTCTGTCTCTCTCTGTCTCTCTCTGTCTCTCTCTGTCTCTCTGTCTCTCTGTCTGTCTCTCAGTCTCTCTGTCTGTCTCTCTGTCTCTCTGTCTGTCTCTCAGTCTATCTGTCTGTCTCTCAGTCTGTCTGTCTGTCTCTCTGTCTCTCTGCCTCTGTCTCTGTCTCTGTGTCTCTCTCTGTCTCTGTCTCTCTCTGTCTCTGTGTCTCTCTCTGTCTCTGTGTCTCTCTCTGTCTCTGTGTCTCTCTCTGTCTCTGTGTCTCTCTCTGTGTCTGTGTGTGTGTCTGTGTGTGTGAAGAAGCTGCTTTCTAAGAGCTCACCATCGCCATCTCCCGCGCCCCCGTTCTGCCCCCCTCTCCTCCCGGTTCGCCATGAGTCTCCGGGAGCCCCATTGGTTCCATCGCTTCCACCCGCGTGCGCCCGGGAGAGCGCAATCGATAGCGTTTGCAAGTTCCGACTGTCGATATGCCTCCAGCGATGCATAATTCGGGTCCTTTGTTCGCCTTTTTATCACGTGCGCGGCTCTTGAATATTTATATCCAAGAAAAGGGTGTCTCCCTGCGCCGCCGAAGGGCCAGCGGGACGGCCGCCGGGGATGCCAGTGGACGGACGAAGGCACGCCCCCGAAGAGGACGGAGGAGGCAAAGAGAGGAGGAAAAAGGTGTGCGAGATACACAGATGAGACGGAGTATGCGCGAGACAAAGGGATGAGGGAGAGATTACCGTCATTATCATTGTTATAGGTCTATTTAACCCGCTATATCTTTCAGAGACGCTTATTTCCTCAAAGAAGGTGGTATTTAAAGAGGCCAATGGAGATAAGAAAATTAGAAAGATATTTAAGAACCGAAGATGGATAAATAAGGAGAAAGATGTGCGGAGAGGATGAAAGAGGAGAAGGAGTGCAAAGAGCATGTCGGAGATAAAGTCATGAGAAAGATTTGCAAAAAGGCTGGAAAAATGAAGAGATGAGAAGGAAGGTATATGAAGTCGTCTGTGCGGTGGAGTGTAAAATGCTACGTTAGGCATGGATGCCGAAGACGAAGAAAATTATAACGTTTATATTTTGATTCTCTATTTCTATGAAGGTGGACGATTCTCAGTAGATAAGAGTATTGGAAATAGTCCTAAAAGTCGATAAAAAGAAGTAAAACGTTGAAACTCATCTTACGAATATGACTAACTTACTAAGAATATCAAATTATAAACCGTCACGTGCATTGGGAAGGGGAAATCTCCGGAGCCCATCACTTAAATTTTAATATTATCGACGATTTTAGTATTTGACGACTTTCATAAATTAATATAACTAATAATATTAATTTATTCTAGAAAAATCCGCTTTAATCTTATAGCCCTGTAACTTAGGAAAAAAACCGACTTTCTCCCATCAATATTGATATTTAACGAACAAACCTATTATATTTTTGTCTCAAAACAGCTGGCGTATCTTCGTTACGTAGAAATATATTTAACTCTTTAATAATAAGACTTAAATACTACAAGTATTTGCTAAATGTATTCATATACGTCAAAATATTTTCAAGTGATTAGTTTTGAATGTATTTATCCACAGCCAAAGACACCGTCAGGCTTTTTGTACTTGGCGCGACAGACCGCGAACGGGCCAAGGCCTACCAGCAGTGTCTCGACTTCGCGGCCAAGGGTTAAGGTACGTGTAGTTAGCACGACGTATTCTGATCTTCTTAACCTGACAAGTGAGTTGTCTCAACGCAAAGACACTGAAATAACTCAAACTACGACAGAATTGAAATAAATCACAACACATTTTGATCAAAGAGCACGTCATAGACAATACGAAAGATTTTGATATTTGCCCAAGGTCAAGCTAGAATTAATCAAGAAATAATACGCAGACGCTGAGAAAGTCGATAGCAGAGATTCGCCGATTGCTAATTGGAAAATGTTTATCAGAAGGTCCATAGTTTAACCACTTTTCTTAATGATGTTTCTCCCACGGTAGCATCTAGATAATTGATCTAATGACGTCAAACGTTTCGAAAGGAAAAGGTCAGTGGAGCGAAATGTAACTGCTTTCATTGTCACTGAAGATGGGCGAGAAAATTGTTTAAGTGGAATGAAGCCTTACTTTCCTTCGATACGTCAGTGAAGGTTGAAGTGAAATTTTCATTCTCCTTTAAATATGCATTTAAGCAACCATTTAAAATTAAGGTTAATTCGAATGATTAAATTATATTCGGATTATTCCAAAGTAATATATAACACATTTAGAAAAAAATCGTCTTGGATTCAATGGAACATCAAATCTGAACTGATGGCTTCAAGAACGCAACCAGAAATACAGTTGACACTCCCAATTATGAGTCATTAACCCTTCATTGTTGCGTAAAACAGTTGTGTTAAGATAAATTAGGGCGTGTTTCCTGATTGGATGCTTTTGAGTGGAAGACCGCATTAGCGGAACGCAAGGTGTAACACAATTTTTCATCTTGAAAAACAGAAAAAATGTGACATTTTATAAGTACGTATTTTTTAATTAATTCGAATATTTTTCGAAAGATATTTGAAATATGGGATTTGATCACAATTCAATTCAAAATATTAACCAATTTCAGTCTGCTGATGTTTCGTGATTTTTTAAATTCCATTAATAATATTGGAATAATATAATATGGTCTATTAATATATAATATGGGCTAATAATTCAAAAGCAACAGCACTTAATATTTAAGACAATACACAAAACACAAAAATCTACGTGTATTGAAATCACATTAATAATTTAAAGAAATATGATCGAACATTTTCTATTGAACCTGCCCTATATATTAAGCCTTTTGTTTACCTTTGTTCGGGTGCTGTTGTATACGTGATTCTGAAACAATAATTAATCTTTTCCGGAGAAGTCCTAGTTTCGAATACCGACGGAGGAGAATTTTCCGGAGATTGATCTATCCCAAAATGACTCTTCCCGATCTAGAAAAGATTCCGAAAGTATTGAGAACGCCAATGTCAGGCAAGTCTGTGATTTGGTCATATCACATTAAGAAGAAGTACAATTTTGGAGATAAAGACGTGCAAAAGCTAGAAACCGAGTTCTCCCGACCGGGCGTGCGCACAGCTGCGAAAGGGTTCCGCCGAATGATAGTCCGGGCGCTTGGATTGGGAGTGGGAAGTGGAGCTGGAAGAGAAGAAGCGGAGACTCTTACGCAGGAAGAAACGCGGGGGAGTTCTCTCAGGGCTTCGCAACTGCCCACCATCGAATATAAAAGAGATAATCTACATTCGCGCCAGAAACACGACTTTCGTATAAATACTGGCGTCACAAGAAGGAATACGAACGACTAATGAAAGTTGTCGGCTCCGGGGGAAGGGTTGTCGGGAATATGAGGGAGGGGATGAGGGTGCGTGCGGGGTGGAGGCGGTGGGGATGGTGAATTGGGAAAAGAAGAAGAGGGCAAAATCTGTAGGCCACGTTTGGATCTCCACGCAGCACAGGAACGTCAACGATATGTTAGTGTTCAGGGTACGGAGGTGTTTCTCTCCTGTGATGACTCCTTGGTAGGTAAACGTTTGTGAGATAATAAACCTATGCTTTATGCCCTCTATATTCTCACTTACGGAGGCGAATTTTCAGTGATGGTAGGAGAAACTGAAAGTTGAGGTATATCATTCAGTACGCATGATGACTGGCGTCTTTCTATATATTTTTTTTTCTACTGCAGTATGAAACCTATTAAAAAGCTGTTAGCAATTTATCTCTTCTCTCGCGTCAAAGTTCAAGAACTCTCTAATGCGTCTGAAGATGATTCAGACATATTATACTTACACACATTATATAAAATGTGGAACTTTTCCATGAAAATAAGTGCAATCTCTAAATATTTCAACTACGCATTATACGATAACTTCATATCGTCGGCATATTTTCTTAGAATTGAGGATCTTTTTATTGTGATAGTGAGAATTGCATTTATAAAAGATACAAAAAATTCAAAGAAATCAATTTATTATAGTTAACGTAACAAATAAGCAATGTAATTGAACATATTTAATTAACTAAAAATGTTCTATCATATTTGAAATTTTATTACAGTTGTTACATTAGTTTTTACATTTAATAATAGTATTTTAACAATGAAAAAATATGAACCAAAGAATCTTGAGAAAAATATTTGTATCCGTGCAGGATAGAGGAAACAGGATAGAGAATCCGACACAACAGAGTTTGTGAGTGAGGATGAGTTTTATAATCTCGACAGTATTGCTAAAGAAATCAACCACGCTAGACTAAGGTGGCTTGGCCATATCTTTGGCTTGCCGGAATCAACTGTACGTAAAAAATATGACTTTCAAGCGAACTGTTGGCCCCCGCAGAGTTGGAAGACCACCCGTTAAGTACTGGATGGTATTGAGAAAGGCCTGAAAAACATTAGTGTGAAAATTTGAAGGAGGAAGTCACGGGAAAGAGATATATGGAACAAAATCCTGAAGGAGACCCAAGTTTACTTATGGACTGTTGCACCCCAAGAAGAGGAAAAAGAAGAAGAAGAAGAAGAGGAAAAAGAAGAAGAAGTGCGATTACACAGGTATGAGTAGATTTTGCACCATAAATTGCAACATAAATTATTTTATGCTCTTTGTTTCATATCGAATGTCATAATTTACAAAGTGACACTTATTCTGCTGTATCAAGTAATACACATTTTGCGTAATGTTCATTTGGCACTAACAATTCTGCTCCCTTGCGTAGAAATAGTCGCTAAAATCATTTGAATGGAAGCGTGGACGTGCGCAAAAGGTGGGATAGGGGGCCTTCCCAAACAATGGGGGAAGGGACTCCGTATCCTTACGTATTTAAAACATTTATTTTCATACATTTGTTCAATACTTGATTTCCCTCTTTTTTAAACACCCAATTTGACAAATTGTTATATATATTTGGTGTTTGACTCTTCATGCTCTTTAACATGGAGCAGCACGAAATCGATTGAACTTATTAATAGCTTAATTAAAGTTATTTCATTCTCCTTGAAGCATGTTTCTTTTGTTTACGTAAATGGGGGCATAAGTAATTTAAAAAAATAATAGCCATGGCGGACCAGAAGTGTAGAAATTTGTTAAACGACTTTCCTATTCGTTTAAAAATACTGTATCAGTGTTATTAATTTTTGTCATATTTTACAGTATTTTGAACATTACGAAACACGGTTAATACCAAGAAACTACTAAGGCACTAAAGTCTCCTTTTCTGCATGGCACCTAAACCGTACATGAAACAGAGAATTGGTAATCATATTTCATTTCAGTACACTAAAATTAGGTTCAGATATTCAACCATGGGCCGCAGAAAAAAATATTTCCCAGACGCGCAGGTGGGAATAAAGCCCAATTCTTCAGGGCCAACAGTGCCTGTGTTGTTTTGTGTGGCACTATCACGGCATAGGTATACATGGCTTATCACAGCATAACCCTATGTTTGAAACATCTTCTTGCATCCCATTGCAATTCGGGGATGGTGACTGCTTCTTTCAACAAGATCGAGCACCTGTTCATACTGCACGGCCTCTGGCGGAGTGATTACATGACAAAAACGTCCCTGTAATGGACAGGTCTGCCCAATGTCCTGACTTGAATCCTATCGAACACTTTTGAGATGTTTCGGACTTCGTGCCAGACCTAACCTACCTACATCGATACCTCCCCTCAGTACAGCACTCCGTGAGGAATAGGCTGCCATTCCCCAAGAAACCTTCCAGCACGAGATTTAAAGTATGCCTCCGAGGGTGGAAGCTATCTTCAAGGCTAAGGGTGGGCCAAACCCTATTGAATTCCAGTATTACCGGTGGAGAGCGCCACGAACTGGTAAGTGATTTTCAGCCACGTGTCCGAATACATACTTTTGATCACACACACACATACACACGCACACACACACACACAAACATATATCGATATCGTTAGTCCCGTAACTGTAGTACATGTTTTGCTCGGTAGGTGGCGGTTATCTTTCCTTCGCTATATGGACAGATCCGGTGCCGATGTACCGTCGGCTAGCGGGATTTTCCGCAACCAAGTATCTCCCACCAGCGGGGCACCGCCCCAGCCGGGACAATCTCTAAGCACCCGACCGATCTCCCGGCATGTGTGCTTGTGTAGCGCGTGTTAGGGTAAGTGTTAGTATTGTAGCGTGTTAGTGTAGTGTAAGTGTGAAAGGAGAGAGAATTGGAGGAGGAAGAGGTAGGAAAAGTCGCGCGCTATCTGTGGTCCGTTTGTTAGAGTCCTGCTGCGGCAATCGCCTGGTGTTAATCGGAGAAACCATGGAAAACTACCGGTCATAGCAGCCGGCTGCTAGAATTCTCTTTCAGGCAGGACTGAATTCGATCTAGCCGTCAAGCCTGTGTTGAAAATCCTACCACTGTCGGGACTCGAATCTAGAACCTCCTGGTCAGAGAGACGGCAGTGACATCAGTTATGTATGTATATCATAATGTGTGTATATATATATATATATATATATATATATATGTATATATATATGTATATATGTATGTATATATATGTATGTATGTATATATGTATATATGTATATATGTATGTATATATGTATATATATATATATATATGTATATATATATATATATATATATATATATATATATACGGGATGACGTTTTCGTAATTTCGTGCAGAATTTGCGGCGTGCTAAGTCCTATCGCGGTGTGGGCGCGTCTTAGGCGCAGCTGCGGATGCCAGAGCCCCCCGGAGCTCAGCTGCGCCGCCGCCGGGCCACCCTCGCCTCGTGCCGCCGCTGCGCTGAATTATCCAGGAGGCGTTGCGCCGCGTCGCGTCGCGTCGCTCCTCCCGCGCTGCCACGTGCGCCGGGGACACTTCTTCCTCCGGCGCCGAGCGGGAGCACGTGCGGAGCACGGAAGCAGTGGCGGGGGCGAGCGAGTTGTTGCGAGGGAGCGTACGTTGGTGTGTTTATTGGGAGGTTGGGAAGAAACTTAGTGGCATGTGTTCGGAGGCCGGAGTCATTGGATACTTGGTTGTCCGGACTGATAGCAATATAGACCTGAAGAAGGCTGCAACTCGATGGCCGAAACGCCAGCGCAGTCGACTGACACGCGATTCACCCCGGACAGCCAAGTGCCCAACATAGTGGCAGATAACGCTAGAAGTAGTTGATGGTAAGTGCGTAATCAAAGATTCGGTGGTAACTTGTGATTCCGGGCGGGTGAAGGTAAGCTATGAAGGTGCAGTTGATTCTGTATATTTGTAGTCGTTTAACTAGCAAGGGAATTAATTTCTTTTTCAATTTACAAGGATGAAAAAAATAGCTTTATGAAAAGATCAGTGCGTTTACTTTCCCCATTTCACAGCATTCTCATGAAGATTGATGAATTTAGTTGAGAGGCCTGTGAGAACTGGTCGATCTACGGAGCATGCCCCGTGCGCAAATCTGATCTGAAACTCATTGTTGAAGCAAATCTGATCTGAAACTCTTTCATTAGATGGCTCTTCCCACAGAATCTGAACGCTAGTTTGAAGTTTAGATACCTTATGTTCGATTTCAGCGAGGACGTACGTTTCAGTAAGGTATGCGAGTAAGAGGATAAGTCAGAAGACGAGGAGGTTTTACTATAGTTGGGGGGAAGCAGGTGATCCTAGAAACCAAGGGGTTTATCAGAGGAAGCCTGCTGAATTTTTAGGAGCGGAAGCACACAATTTTTAAAAAATTTAATTTATTTTTACATTTTGGCAGACAGTACAACGTTAAGGCGTGACGCTCTTCAGTTGATTGACGAGTAACACTGAATCAGCGAAGTGTGAAAGGAGAAACTTCTCGTCACTTCTCTGAAAGCGACTTCATTAGGTTATGCCTTCAACAAAGGTTATTGCGAGGAGAATTCTTTAATCATTCGTTAGAGGGCAGGGTTCGGGCGAGGGCAGAGATTTGAAAGGAATACCAAGGCTGACAGGTAAACGCAAGAAATGTTCTTAGCTTATCTAATGTCCGAGAGATATTGAAGGAAAATGTGAAATAGGAGTGTATTTATTAGGTGGGAGAGTGAAGGTTGATCAGTTCCTATTTTGAAAGTGAAAGCGTCTTGTAAATTATTTAAATTATTGAAGAAATTATGTGTCAGTTTCGTAATAAAGGAAGCGATCAGTTCATTTGCAAGATCGTTGTGAAGTGTCTTATTGTTGACAAACCAGGGGGCATTTACTGTAATTCGTAAGATTATGTTTTGATAGATTTGTAACTTATTTAATATGGTTGGGGCACATGAAATCCATTGAGGACATGCGTAACATTGAATGCGTAATACCAGACGAAGAATAGATTAGTAAATAGTTAGGAGGTGTGGATTTTTAAAGAAGAGTTGCGGTTGAAAATTGGACGCAAAATACCGTCTATTAGCATCAATTACTTTGGACTAGATGTGAATGTGGCAATTAAATATTGTGTCCACGAGAACGCCGAGATAATGAATAGATGAATTTAGAAGAGACCAAGGAATAATACAAGTGTCCAGCGATAAGTGGCGAGGAAAGGCAGGATACCTTAAAATAAAGAACTTTGGCTATTGATTTATTGCAGTTACTTTTAATTTTCCATAATTTTTGACCAATTTTCTATCTTTTTTAGATGACATTTAGTAACACGATATGCTGTGTTTAGGGCACAAATTAATGAAATTTTGAAAAGAGGACACACTTTTAGAATGTTTAAAAACCTGTGCATCAAAAAAGTGACAAAACTTTTTAAAGAAAAAAATCTAAAAGTCATTTTGGTGAAAAAGCAAATAAAATCCATACGTGAACAGATTATTCTGTATACTTTAATTAAAATATAGTTTGTTCTGAAAGTAGCATTTTGCATTTTAAGGTACTTAAAATTATTTTATGGAAAACATATTTTATTTCATAGAAATTAACACAATTAAATTTGATTCCATCTTACATAACCTCACCTGGTTTACGCGGACACTTTTCTTAATGGATAATGTTTGCTAGACGTTAGTCTATAAGACTGGTATCACAATATTTTAAAAGATTAAAGAAAAGGTATATCCAGTGTAGTCATTTAATTTTCACTTCAAAATACATATTTCAAAACGTTGGAGACAGTATGATCCTTTAATACCCTTCTTTACAAAAGTCATAAGCAATTTACTTTTTTTCTCTAAAATATTGGCCACGGAGAATAGGAGGGTTAGCAAGTACGTTCAACTTGGAAGCAAGGTTAGTGAAACTTAAAAGCTAGATTTGTAATGCAATTATACACTTGCTTCTTCATTAGTTAATATAAAATGTTTTTCTGTTACTTACAACTGTACATTAACAATATAATTTTTATTGCTACTTTTTCTAAATAGCTTAACAATCCTAGAATAACTAACTTGACATATTTGAAGCTCAACGGTGAAACTACGAATATATATATGAAATTCAAATGCCTTTGTTCAAACGAAAAATAATTTTTGTCATAAGAAGATTGAAACAAATATAGAAATTCACAAATAAACGTCATTGTTCCAAATATTTAAAACACTTAACAATACTTTCAAATGAATTTACAAACATAGTGAATTAAATTGTGAATTAAAATGTGGTCTATTTTGAAACTTCTATATACTAACAGAGTCAACAAAAATATTCATTCAATCTGTTCGCGTTTTTTCTCCATTGGATCCCACGCACCTTTCTCTATTTCTTTTACACAATACATTTCGACAGCTTATTTTCTTCCACATGCTTTTCGAATTCTCTTGAATTTGTTGTTTATTGCCTTTCTTCTCGTACCCACGCGCCCTCGAAGAGCCAGGCCCCCACGCCGCTGCGTGTTGGGAAGGCTGGCTTTTTACTCACGGAAACGCAGACCGCCGTCCCAAGCCTTTCGGTAATCCTCTTTCGCGAGGATTGGTTTGAGCGTTTCCTCGCATTTCAGAATCCATGTGATGGAATGTTCTCCTTTGGGAAGAATTTGCCGAGATTATTCTTTGACACTTTGTCTTGGAATGACTTTCCGAATGGTTTATGCTGTAAGAAGTAGCAGCACAAGTTTGTAGCAAGCATAACCACGACGTATCCTCTGGATTGAAAGGCTTACGACAAGCATGTGTTGCGCATTGTAAAGTGCCTTTTGAATTTTAAATTCGTGAGGAGTAAGTGTTTCATGAGGGGTAATGGGTTTTCTTGATATCTCGATAAACTACGCCCGATAAATTGTGTTATTGTAAACTGTAATTTGAATTTAATAGGTTTAATAGTCCCATCGATTCGCGGTCAGCCAAGATTCCTTGCGCGTGCGTTTTCCTTGCGATGTCCCAGTATATGTTGCTGTGTGGCGAAGAGAAAATTCACTTCTCAGGTTGAAAAGACCTGAATACTGCGTGGGGATGTCTTCGTGCTAACCACACGTAGCCCCTTAACCTATGGCCGCGAGGTCAAAACGTCGCTGGTAGGCCATGGCCCTTACACGGGAGGACGCGCCAAGTACACCCATAACAGTATAACAGTCCCATACTAAATGGCGAGTGTGTGTTTGTGTGTGAAATGATTTACTCACGCATTGGTTTTTCTTTTTCTGTGTAAACCGTCATTTTCCTTGAAAACCCGTGTTTAAGGTTCTTTTCCACTATAACTCTGCACATACGTTAGGATTAAGAACTATTAAAGCTCTTCCAGAGATGTTTCAGATTGGTGCAGGTGGCATGGAGATGCACGCAGTTTGACCCCAAAATCGGGGTGTCTGAGTGAATGAATGAATGGATGGATGTGTGGGACTGTGTGTTATGCATAACTGTTAATTTAGATGCTTTTGAGCAGACACTTGGTATATATGACAGTAGTTTGTCTAAATGTGCTGTTTCGGGGATCATTAAGATATCTTTTGTTATTTACCTCCTAAAAACGCGATTGGCTTCGTAGCAACTAACCATTAAGAGCGCGTCCTTAGCAACGGCCGGCCGATGCTCGAGACTCCATTAAAAATATTTTAGTAGACACTCGGGTTTAGATTTTACCACTGCTCATAAATAATGCGATAATATGTCCCTTTTGACCACTTGTCCCCCTTCTTCTTTTTGTCTCACTTCGTTCCCAATGTCCTATTTGTCCACTTTGTCCCCCTTTCTCCCCATTAGTCCCACTTGTCTCATCGCGCGTGGTCAGTGGACCGTTTGTACGGATATTGCCCCAGCATTCGCCTGATGTTGATCAGAGAAACCATGGAAAACCAGCGATCAGAGCAACTAGCCTCTAGAATTCTCCTCCAGACAGCGTCTGAATTCGACCTAGCTGACAAGCTAGTGTCGTAAATCTAGCCACTCTCGGGACTCGAACCTGGGACCTCCTGGTCAGAGGCACTGCAGTGACATCAGTTGATGCACTGTCTCCATTCCCGCTGCTCCTGTCAAGAATGTATAAATTTGTAAATAAAACTTTTATTTTTAAAACCCTTTTCTTCACATGATATTGTTTGCTGTTATAATGTGAGAATTTTATTTCCTTTCTTCTCATGATCATGGATATATTCCTGGAAAAGGATGGAGTTGGCGTAACCTACAGTTGACTACTAATGACCATCTTGTGTGTCATGGAACGTATTTACCTTTTTCTCGTAGCTACTTTGAAGTTCTTCGAATTTACTGATTGCTACGTTTCTTACTATTCATTAGCAAAAGCATCCATGCAAGTAGCGCTGGACATATAATTTCTGTGTCATTATTCTATTTGTGGCAAATAAGTGAATATTGTTGGATAACGATTTTGCCTTTTCATCCCCCCAAGTTATTAAAGCACACTGATTTTGAAATCTTGTGTTTTACATAAGACTAATTTTTCTACGCAACTATGATTAGACAGCAAATACATTGTGTAATGTGTTTTGGCTGCCCTCCCTCACCTTCAGGCCTCAAAATAAATTATTTCACTTCAATATCTGTCTCGGCGAACTGTCTTTTATAGTATGTTTCACCACTCCTTTTCATTAATCACATAACAATAGCGCCCCGTCCATTTTAATTTCGACTTTAGCAATTTCAATTCAGTTTTTACACTCCAGTACTCACTGTAAATCTACTTCTCTTACATCATCATTAAAGTTTATTGCCAGGAGTCGATATGACAAATGCAAATTGAAAAAGAACGACTATTTTATAATACACTACGAATCTATATAAACCTAACATTCATGTACATCATGGTAGGAAAATGCATACCCTCGTAGTATTTATACACAAATTCGAATTTCAGTAATTCTCTTCAAAGGCATGTATTACAGTAAATATTTAAAAGACTCAAGAAGCTTGCTTAAGATCTACTATACAATGTGTTTTTGCAACATCTAAAACATAATACATAAGAAAAGGGGGCCTCGTAAGGCATGTGTTACGGCTAAAATCCGAAATATGGATAGCGTCCTTTGAAACGTAGGTTTGAAAAATGTAAAAATCAATAAACATTTATTCTATGTACTTGTCAGCCTGAGAAATTAAAGGACCTTCCAACTAATTTCAAAAACATAAAGAAAGGCAGTCTTTGGAAATATTATCATTTGAGTAGTTTTTAAAATTGTCTTTCACCTCGAAATACGAATAATTCGCTAATTAGCTTGGTATTTGGCACTTTGCAATGTTGTTTGGATTATGCTATATGAATGACGGTGAACGCGTCTAGATAGAAATTTACCGTAAAGTTCTTCTGCGAAAGTCTAAAATTGGCGTTGAAGCTGTGTCATCTTCTATCCAACCATTTTGGTTAATACTAATATTTACCGACTAAATAGTGAATTAGATATATTCACACATAGATAGCTTCATCACATTATAAAATCACTTCCGAGAGAATTCGTTTATAAACGCTGATACTGTAGAACAAATGGCGTTCAACAAAACGTTCCCATTAAAATAATGCTCCAAATTGTTTTTGATTTTAAATACTTTTTTCTTCTCTCTCATAAAAAAAACAATGTTGTC